ATATAGAGTACAGTACAGTAAATTGGCTAATTTTACATGTCATGGTGGCTTTATTTGATACAGTAACAAAGCTGAATTGGCCATTAGCAGGGGAGATGTGATTTAGCTATATCATGTATGTCCGTCCTAAAAGCGGCATCACTCTTGAATAAGTTTTTCTGAGAGATGTTCTCATAAGCTCTGATGTATTTTTGTTCTCTTCTAGATAAAATAGGTGCCTTTAATAGGTATTAACTTTCTGTTAACCTCTTAAGCCCCAACGCCCCCTGATACGGGGGCAAAAAGCAGGAGATCAGGTAGGCTTGGGGCTTAAGAGGTTAATACCCACCTGGCAACTTTTCTGTTGCCAGGTGGGTGGTGTTCTAGCTAAACCGGTTTTCATGTTGCCTCGTGATCAGCTATTAACAAACTGCAGAGCTCGTGATTCATCACATTTATAACAACTCTGATGTGTCCACCTCAACCTTCACAACTAGAACCTAAGCTCCAAAACCCAAAACATGTCTTTGCGTTAATGAGTTGAGTCTCTTCAACACAAAATATACTAATAGAAGAATGTACCTATTGCAGTTCCCTCCAGGCTTGGATTAGATGTGTCATTAAGGCAAGTGTCTAATATGCTTGTAACACCTTGAGCTCCCATTGTATCGCACTAACTTTGTAAAGATCCTTACTTCTTTCTTCTATCTTCACATCCCTTCAGAAACAGGCGCCACCCTGCTGTATGTAGAGATTTAGTGTAAATTATCAGTTGAAGGAAGAGAGAACAGGAGGCAAAACACAAGGACCAAATCTGATATATATGTGAACTTTTTCCTTACAAACAATATATGGAAACATGTATTGGCCAGATATGTTGTTAAGGTGTCATTATATTCATAACATGACTTTACAATGAATAAAAAAAAATGCTTTTAACTTTAACTCGTGCTTTTCTTCACTGACAAATGAACATCCAAATGGGGTCCAATGACATTTTTTAGATTTAGGTTCATTATCTGCTAACACCCAATTAGAATTTCCTTTGTGAAAACAAGATTCTTGTGGAAACCATATAGACATGTTAGGTAGTTGGATTGATTATACCACTTGTCGGCTTGAAGGTGGTTGGAGGTACACTTGGAATTCTAATTCAACAAACTCCATTTACTAATATGGATGATTAAGATTCACACAGACAATTTTTGAGAAACTTAAGTACATTTAATGATCATGTACAATCGTTTCTTATTCTTTCTAACGGATCTCGTCTCTAATTACGTTTCTTTGAGTTCAGTATATGTAAACGTAATCTTTAAGTGAGCATCACTGTCTTTAAACTGCTCAAAACACTTTGATTCAATGGTTTGTCTAATCTTGTGCATGGCTGATCTCATCTTAGCATAGATGTCTTTTGTATGTTCATCTCAGCCGCAACTCATAAATTGCAGAGCTCAAGTAATCCTGAATTTGAGCAATCTTAATTCTACATTGCCATACATGGTGGTTGAAGTTTAACTTCAGGGAGAGAGTCAAAGTCAGCAAACTTCAGAGATTTTTTGCTGTCAGATTTTACTGGTATTACTGGGTACAGTTTTTATGTCACACTGGCTACTGACACATTAACATTAAATGATACAGTGAAAAAGTGAAATCACATTAAACAAACACAGTTAGTGTAAAGTAGGTAATCTTTATTCCTTTACAAACTCCTGAATATACAGTAAATGAACAAGGAATGAAATGAAGTAATAATCTTAAACTTATTATATACTTATACTTAAATGATAATAATAGGTTGTGACAGATTTCTGCCAATTTCTTTTGCATTTGCACTTAACATAACAAAATTACATGCTGAGTGTCTTCTGTCACCAAAAGTTATGGATGTCAATAGTAATAAGTGTTTAAAATGTAAGAAAAATAAGTAAGAATATCTCTAAATACATTAGACAGAACTTCTACAGTAGTTGCAGCTTCACTCAGTAAGTAGTCTTCACATTTGCCTTTTCATAAATGTTATATTACAGTAAGTATATTGCTTCCCAAGCAGGTATTTACCAAACAACAATGAAGCGGTCCAATGAATAGTCTCCCCCCAAGAGTAGTCAAAAATCCCAACTAAGTTGCATACAAAAAATACTTCATATACGCATTTTCAAAATAAAACAAAACACATAATATATCAATATCACAAATGAGCAGCTTCAAAATGAAAGCAAAGCAAAACAAAGTAATACAGTCATTACATGTTTCCTAAGTGAATATTCATGAAAGCGCACAAAAACCTTTGTTGTTTATACTTCATACTAACATCATTCAGTGATCATTACTCAAAAAAAATACAACTTAAATTCCTTTTTGGTTGTGATGCTAAATAATATTTCAGTTTTCCACTGTTGATATCATCCTTTTAACATTTAGAAAAACAGTTACACTGACCAATACCTTGTTTTAAATCCTTAATTCACATATGCTTCTATTTTATTAAGGAGCTCAGATGCCTTGTTCAGTGCCAGCATTTCATTCTCTGATCTGAATCGTCCGTTCGGTATGTGGGGATATGGATGGCAGTTGGGATATTGAGTCCTTTTGGGATCTACTCCGAGAGTCTGCAGGTTTTTCACAATCTCAGGCAGATCTCTCAGTTGGAGGCTGTAGCAGGAAACTTGTGCAGCAGTGGCTGAAATTGAGCTGCTTTTGGGGCGTTGTCCATTTCTTTTATAGCATGCTGCTATGAGAGACTTTTCCACTGCTTGATGGACCTTAAACAGACACCACTCTGTGCTCCCTCCACCAGTGTCTTTGTGAGCTGCATTGAGATCGCAGCGAGCCTGTCTACACCAGCGCCTGGCCTCTTCTCTGTCTGGCCTTGGGACATTTTCATTGTGGGTCCAGAAGTTGTAGGAATGGAAACCTCTATAGCCTCTAGAGAACCTCTCTCGACTATTTCTGTGATACCTGGCCTCCTGATTCCACTGTTGATAGAAGCCTCTGAAATTTGTGTTTCTGCTTGAAAAGGTCGAGCCTGCAGCTTTGCCTTTGCTAAGCTCATCAATTCGATTCTGTATATATTTGAATGCCTCATTGGCGAGAGACTGGCAATCCGGATTTTTGTCAGGGTGCCACCTGAGGTACAGTCTCTTGATGGCTTTGTGCCTCTCCTCCTCAGGAAGCCTCCAGATCTCTGCCAAACATTTATCAATTTCCCTTTTAGCTTCCTCAACAGAGGCTGGTAAAGAATTTGTTGATGATTCAGAAGAATTTGGCACAGCTCCTGTCAGTGGTTCCAGCTCCATGCAAGTGTTTTCTTCTGGTTTTACCTTCTTTTCTCGTTTAAACTGAAACAGATCAACACAGCTGACTTCAATGGGCTCATCTTGTCCAATATCTACTTTGTATCTCCATGAATATTGTCCATTGTGACCAGGCAGTTCTTCATCAATAACTGCATAAATGTACTTGTCACCAATGCTGTAGCCAACATATTCCCCCTCTTCAAAGTTGTTGAGGACATTCATGTCCAAACAATCATGCCATTCTTCTGGGATCTCTGTCCCAGGGGCTGCTGGACTAAAAGAGGAACTTTCAGTTTCAGCACTGTCACGGATCCGATTTTTAGCCAAAGTTTTCCGAACATCTTGCAGATAATCACACATGAGGAGTAGTCCCAGCACTGGAAGGTGAACCGATGCAATTCTGTTTGCTAAAAGAACATTAATCTCTTTTGTCAGTGTCATGATGACTTCAGTTATTACCTTGGGAGCAATGTCATCATTGTGCTTTAAGTAAAAGGTGCACCCTTGTTGCCCTCGTTCCACAGATACATCTGTTTCTTCATCAGTTTTGGGAAGTGGCTGGTTATCGAGCCAGAGAGCTGTTTCCAAAGTTTTGCAGCAGATAATCTGTATACTGCCAAAGGTCTGCTCACATATATTAGAAGCATCTTCTTGTGTTATTTTGCCTTGTGAATTCTCTCTAATAAGACAAATTAATCCATATTTAAAGGTTCCTGAGGAGAGATGTTTATCAAACCATCCACTAAATTCACAGCCAGTCCCAAGTTCACAAAGCTGCATCTTTGATTCCACAACTCTTTCCTCTGTGAACTCAGACAGCATCTTTGGCTGAAGCTTCTGAGGCAGCAGTTGCAACAGCTGATGATGCTTGTATTTGTCGTAGCCCAAATGACATTCACTGAGTTTCTCAAGCAGCAGGAACTTGTTCTCCAGCGCTTCTTCCAACCTTTTGGTCTCAAACACTGTGTCGTTGTAGCAGAGTGTGGACGATGGGTACAATTTACCATCTACTGCAGGAAGATACAGAGTCTCAACATTTTCAAGAAGTGTCTCATTTCCCTGAGCACTGATTAACTTAAACAACTGCTCAACAGCTCGTTTCACAGTTCTCAGCTGGTTTGAATGTAGTTTCTGTTTATCACAGGAATCAGCGTAAACTGCTGCCAAAACATTACAATATTGCTCCACAGTAGCTTCGTTCTTCACACCAATTTTCTGAAAGAACGGTGCATACATCGCATCTTCTGGAGTAATCTTGTACAGATAAGGTCTGAAGTCCAAATCACAGAGGAGCGACAGACACACATCATCAGGCCTCATAAGTTTTGTGTCTTTTTCAACCAACACAACAGGAAGACCAGGCAGCTGGTTTCCTGCAAATCTTTTTGCTTGCAGGTAAGCGTACGAACTTCTGAACACTTTAGCTCGTGTTTTGATCAGCTGGTCAGTTTCACATGGTGACTGACAGATGTTTCTTATGTTACTGGCTACACAGTTTGGAGGTGGTTCTTCATGAGCTCCTGCATTTTTCATCATCTGGATAAGTTTCTGTGTTGTATAACCTGGTAATTGAATAATTGGTATTGAGGTCCAAATCAAATCCTGATGTTCTGGATTTTTTTCAATCAACGAGCCTCTAATTTTAACAGTAGTTCCTTCAGGAGCAAATGGTTGGTGGTAGATGGACAGTTCTTTTCGAATATTGACTGGAAAAAGGAATTTGATGTCAGCAATGCTTTCCAGCAACCTTTCCTTGTCGTCTTTGGCATCATATGCTTTATTCAAGGCTTTCCTGAAAAGCAATGATGATTTCAGTTTCAGGTCTTCAAGTCTCCCTTTTCCTTTTGCTTCTGATTCCAGCTGGTACGCAAAGTTTTTTATCTCATCGTTTGACACAACATGCTTCATTCCAAGTTCTCTGACCAGGTCTTTTGCTTTTTTTGTTGTGTAGTCATTTCCTTCACAAAGCTCAGTCCAAAATCTCTCAGGAACAAATTTCTCCTGGGGCAACATATGTTTGTACAGCTCCACACTTTCATCAAAATAGTATGATGCAGGCTCCAGTCTACCTTGAGAACTGCGAATCAGTTTCACTGTCTTCAGTGAAGAGATGATAGTTTTCTTGTCCTCTGAAAAGTAATGTAGTGACAGCAACAACTTAAGGCTGTGAAAAATCTGTGTCTCTGTGAGTTGGTGTACAGCAGGCAGTATAAACTTCATGAAATACTGCAAATCATCCAGGACCTGAATGTTGAGTGTTTCTGACAGTATGTGGTTCTCAGAGTTGAACTTGAGAAAAATGCTGTTGCTGTTAGGTAGGTTGAGCAAATCTGGAAACATGACTGAATATTCGATGTTGAGAACATAAACCTTTTTAGGTCCATCAATCCTCACTCGTTCACCATGTGTTGTTTCAAATATTGGTAAGGATTTGAGTTTCGTCACATACTCTTGATTGTCTTTGGACTTGGATAATCCCGATTGCAGGAACATCTGAAACTCCTTCATATCATAATTTGAAAGCTGGGAAAACTCTGGATGATTAATGTTGTAGACTTGATCCAACACTGAGCTTTGATCATCCACATCGAGAAGCTCATGCTGTAGACATGAACGTACCTCTCGGTCCATTTTAGAGAAGAAAACATGATCAAGACTCATAAAACCAAGTTTGAAGAGGATGCCTGATATGTCTTTGTGTTTTTCTGAGGCAAACACAACACTTGAAATGTGTTTCATTGTTTGCAGGAAGTGCCTGTTGTTCAACCTTGGGCACAGAACAGGTAAAATGTAGCAGTCACTGAAGAGTTTCCTCACTTCACTTAGTGTCAGACTTTGTTCATCAACTCTATATGTTGATGAT